GAAGAGAAGAGAAGAGAAGAGAAGAGAAGAGAAGAGAAGAGAAGAGAGAATGGAATGGAATGGAATGGAATGGAATAGGAGAGGAGAGGAGAGGAGATGAAGGGAAGGGAGAAGAGAAGAGAAGAGAAGAGAAGAGAAGAGAAGAGAAGAGAAGAGAAGAAGGGAGAATAGAATAGAATAGAATAGAATAGAATAGAATAGAATAGAATAGAAGGGGAGAAGAGAAGAGAAGAGAAGAGAAGAGAAGAGAAGAGAAGAGAAGAGAAGAGAAGAGAAGAGATGAAGGGAGAATAGAATAGAATAGAATAGAATAGAATAGAATAGAATAGAATAGAATAGAATAGAATAGGAGAAATAGGGTAAAATTAGAATAGAATACAATAGAGTAGAGTAGAGTAGAGTAGAGAAATAGGATAAAATTAGAATAGAATACAACAGAATAAAATAGAATAGTTGGAAGGGACCTTCAAGGTCTTCTAGTCCAACCCCCTGCTTAGGCCGGAGACCCTCCACAGGGTTAGATTGACCCTTGGTGACAAAGTGTACACAAGTGTGTATTCTCCCCAACGGAATACAACTGCGATGGTAACTCACGTGAAATAGTCTCTGGGGATTTTATTCCTGGGAGGAAATATCTATAATCGAATTCAATGCATTGGATCTCCCCCCCAAAACTAAGCCCAATCCCATAGTTTCCTAGCGAAGCACGCGTATTGAGCTAGTTCACCAATAAAAATAAGTGGTACCTATTTTTAAACCTCATGAGGTCTCCCATCTGATTCTTGGAAACATGCCCGCCAACTTCTCATTGACAAGAAGGAACCTGGTCCTATTTTGGAGGCTGCGCCAGTTATACTACCTCCTTATTTCATTGAAGCTAACTCTTGTGTTTTGCAAACTTGACCATTTTTAAGACAGGTGGACTTTTACTCCCAGAATTCCTCGCCAGCATAGGGAATGTTATTTATTTATTTGTTTGTTTGTTCGTTTATTTGATTTGTCAAACTCTTACAAAGATAATAGGTATGAGTATAAACATAGTTTTGAATACATGAAATGGATACATATAAGAAAAATATAAAAGAAACAATAGGACAGGGACGGTAGGCACGTTGGTGCGCTTATGCACGACCCCTAATTCTGGGAACTGAATCCACATAGCATAAAGTCACCAAGTTTGGGGGCGGAGGGGGGGGCTTTTAATATAAATGCCTGGGCGTAAGCTAAACGTAAGGGTGCATTTGCACAACACTGCACATCAAACTTGGCAGGGTTTCCACGTGTTTTGCAAACTCCGTAATTGGAATAAATCACGACTTGCGTCTCCTCCGGCAAAGGGGCGGCCGCTGCTGCCCTCTGTAGGCTAAGTTGCGAAGCGCCCTTCTTCTATTACCGCTTTGTCTTCATTGGTTGCCGGGAGCGGCCGAGCGGCCAATCGAAGCTGCGCTTGAGAAAGTGGGAGGAGCGACGACTGAAAGAGCTTCTTTCAGCCGGATCGGTGAAGGATCTGGGCTTGCAAAGCTGTGATTGCCTCTAGGTGGCAGCAGAGCGCAGTTCCGCCAGCTTTACCATAGGGGCTGCATGGCATCCCGAAGAGATTTCCCGTCCCAGATCAGTTCACGGCGCATTTTTACCCTAAAGGTTCGGCGGTCCTTCTATTTCTTTCTCTCTATGATTACACGGCGGCGACGCCCCTTGACAAGCCTAGCTTTTGATTGGACAGAGCCGCGAGGCGAGGCCCGCCCTTTCAGAGGAACTGCTTCGCGATTGGTTGAAAAGGCGCCCGAGCGAAATACGTATTTCCGAAGCGGCCGGTGTCGGCCGGAAGTCGGAAGGGCGCCGTCTCCGCTATGGCGGCCGGGGGCCCCATTTGTTACGCGCTCCTGTGTGGTCAGGCGGCGCTGTTGCTGGGCAACCTGCTCCTGCTGCAGGGGGTCTCCCGGACCCACCAGCACAACGCTACCGACAGCCCCGCCGGCGCCGCCGCTCGAGACGCAGAAGCGCAGCAGCGGCCCCCTCACGCGACCACCGCCTCCGCCAGCCTCTGGGAATACCAAGGCCCGTACGCGCCGCTGATCCTCTGCAACCACCTGTGAGAACCGGTGGGCGGGGACTTCAGAAGTGAGGGGGCGGGGCCAGGCCTATTTAAGTTGGAGCCGAAAAGCGTTTTTGTAAAAAATGGCCCTGCAGAATGGTTGTTAAGATGAGGGGCGGGGTTTGAGACGCGACGGGCGGGGCTTGTTTAAATTGGGCGGAAAGCATTTTAAAAAATGGTCCTGCAGAATGGTTGTAAGGTGAGGGGCGGGGCTTGA